GAAGGGGTTCAGGGGTGGGACCTCAAGGCTGGGGAACAGTGGCTGGTTGATTGGCGATGTGTTAGTCTCCTCACTCTGTTCTGGTTAGGGCAGGCAGGCTAGGGGGACACTGAGGCCATATGTCACGTGTCTGAGAGTGTGTAGGAAACGTCTTTCCGGGGCCCTTTTGCCCGGGGGGGGGGGGGGGCGGGGGGGGCGAGACAGGCGGGTAACCCTCAGCTAGGGCAGCCCTCTCGTGAACGGTGAACGAATACAGGAACCTGAGCGGGTGTGCGACCTGCCACCTCTTGCCTAAAAGCCAGCTCTCTACCCTCGGCCCACAGACAGACCTGACCCCTGGCCTTGGCCCCATCAACATTGTGTTTTCCTGGCTCCTGCCTCCTGAAGAGGGTAGTTACAAGAGCATTCATCCAAGCAGGTCAAAAGCTTCTATGATTAAGACAGTGGATCAGAGGTTACCATTACAAACGCAGGAGCCGTAGCTGGCAGGAAAGAGCAAATTCCTAAGAAAGCTTAGCCTGAACCAAAGAGGCCCTGGGGAGGCTCAGAGGGGGTTCCGCCCTTCATAGCTGGCTCCCAGGACTCTGGTCTAAGGAAGGCTTCCCTTGGAGTGGCTTTCCCATGAGCCTCCAGTCGAACTTGACCTTGGAGGCCCCTTTTTCCTCCGGGACCTCTGAGAGGTGAAGACACAGGAGGATTGTAACAAGGAGCTCTTGCCGGTGCAGGTGGCCTCCCACTCATCGTCTCCTGGGACACTCACTCCTGCCTCAGGAAGAGCGTAGGGCTCAGAAGTCCGTGAACTCGCCCGCAGAGAGAGATTAAGCCAGAGGCAGAGGCAGCCAGGGGTCCGCTCCAGCGTCAGAGCTCCTGCCACCCGCAGAGGGGCCTGCATGGGGAGTGGCCGCTCGCCCTTGCAGAGTTGACCATATGGGGGTTCCAGAGGCAGCAACTCCAGGGGCAGCAGAGCCCTGTCCAGGGGAAGACGCTCAGGGACTGTCCCTCTCTGGAAGCGGCTGTCCCAGCAGGGGGCCTGGCCCCCTCCAAGAGGGCCCGGGAAGGAGGGGGGCTGATCCAGAGCTGGGGGACTTGAACACCCAAAGTGGTTCTGAGGGTCCAGGAGCAAGAGGGTGTCCAGCTTTCTGTGAGTGCTCACTCCTGGCCTCAAACTCTTCCTCCCACTCCCTAGCGAGACCCTGACCTCCTCCTGGCTCCCTCCCCACCCTGTCCCCATTCCAGGGACCCAGAGAAGGTGGGTTTGGATGGGGGGCGGCCCAGGCAAGAAGGTGGGGGGGATGGAGGGATGCTCAGAGGACTGAGCTCAGGCTGAGTGGGAAGCCGTGCTTTTCTTAGGAATTTCCTCATCCCTGAATTCTTTCCAACTCGGCTTTTGCCATCTGTGCACTTATAAGAGGCCAGAGGGAGGGAGGCAAGGGAAAGGGAAGGGCTCAGCAGGGACTTGGCTGAGTTCCAGGCTACCTGCAACGCGCCTGCCATCTCATTTAGTCCTCCCCCCAGCCCAGTGAGGTGGGTGGTGGTGTTCCACTTTACAGATGGTAAAACTGAGGCTTAGCGAGATTAAGTGACTTGCTCCTAAACCCACAGCTCCTCAGCCAGAATTCCAGCTCCAGCTCCGGATCAAATGCTTTGTCCACCCTGCTGGTCCAGCCTTTTAAAAAATATATATTTATCGATAGGCTTTAATTAGAGCAGGTTTAGGGTTACAGAAAACTGAGCAGAAAGCAGAGGGCTCCCGTGTGCTCCTTCTGCCCCTGCACAGTCTCCCCTCTTGTCAACATCTTGCATTTGTGTGGCATGTTTGTGGTGCAGCCTTTCTGCAGAGATGCTGGTTCTACCAGCCTGAGGCAGAGCCGGGGTGAGAACCTGCGTCTCTCTGGTCCCCAAACTCAGGAGTGTGGGGAGGTGGGACAGGGGCACAGGCTTGGCTGTCTTCCTTGCTGTGGGGCTGTGAAAGTTTAGCCAAGAATGGGTCTTACTAACAGAAGAGGGAGGGGCCAACCTAATCTCCTGGAGGCATCGCCCCCTCCCTTGGTCAACTCTGGGAAGGCAGCCAGAACCTGGCTCTGTTGTCCTAATCCCCCTCCTCCCCTCTCACCTCCCTTCCAGGTTTGGGTTGGAGGAGGGAGGGGGAGGCTGATGAGAAACCTGGGGGCCTTGGGGCCCTGCCTGCCCGAGAAAGGAGAACCCCGGAACCCGTGTCTTGGGGAAGGATGACCAGCAGATTAGTCACAATTCTTGCGCTGCCTTCTTGCCCCATCCCCACCCACAGTTTCTTCTTAAGTGTCCTTTCCTAGGAACACGCCACCCCAACCCCAGGGGGGCTCTGACTCCAGGGAGATTTGCAGCCTCTGACCCCCTGTGCATGCACACGCGCACACACACACACACACACTGGGTGTGGCTTGTGTGCACACAGTTCACGTGCGCTCCTAGGGGCCTATGGGTGCACAGGTGCACGGACACAAGCACACAGGCCTCACTCCTGCCTCTCTCTGCTCCAGAGTCACACTGGTGCTACGCGGTTCAAGCCAAGGACTCCGAAAACTGCGTGGGTAAGTCCAGCGAGCCTGGGAGACACAAGGATGGTGGGAAGGACGAAGGACAAGGGTGCCCCGCCAGCCACATAGCAGCTCTGAACACAGGCACACACGCGTGCGGTATACACCCCTGGGCTCGGGGGGCCCTACCCTGGCACCCCCATCACTGTCATCCGGAGGGGGCGTCCCCTGGGATGTCATTGGCAGCAGCAGATGGAGAGACATTGGACTCTTTCGAGTAACAAAGTGGAGACTGGCACTTTCTACTCAAACGCGGACCGCCTTCCAGCCGCTGCTTTGGTCCTGCCTCTGCCCACGGTCACCAGGGTTCAGGCACCAGGCTCCTCCCTGGGTCACATCCCACCTCCAGCCCTTCCAGGGGACCCCCTCCTCACCTGCCCAGAGCCCTCCCATCCCCCTTTGAACTCCATCACACAGGTTATCACCACATTTCTCCCCTCACAGCCCAGCAGCCTGAGGCTGTCCCCTCCCCCAGAGCTCACAGCCACCTACTGGCCACCCTGTTCCCACCCTGTCCCACATCACTGCCCGGCCCGAGGCCTTGCCACACGTGAGCTGGGTGCTTGGTCCCGACCTCCAAGGAGCAGAGGAGGCCACAGCCTGGCGCCAGGCACCCCGACTCAGCCCGTCTTCTCTCCCTGCTCAGCGCCGGACCAGTGGGGTGGGCAATGCCGGAAGACCGCCAGTCCCCCATCAACATCGTCACCGCCAAGCACGGTGGACGAAGACCTGGACCCTTCTCTTCTCGGCTACGACAAGAAGCAGAAGTGGACTCTGCAAAACAATGGGCACTCAGGTGG